GGCGGGGGAGGTGCGTCCTGGACAGCTGTCGGCCGCACTGGCGCGCTCGGCGGCGGACGCGGCCCGCCTGTTTGCGCAGTGGCTGTCCGAAGCGGGACCGCCACCGGCCAGCCCCGGGGACGCCGGCGCTGCCTTTGAGGGCGCAAGCGCCCCCGTGCTCGGCGCCTCCGCCCCAGCGCCCCCGTGCGGCGGCCCGTCGACGGCGGCTGCTTGTGGGGCCGAGGATGGGGAGGAGGGCGGGAGGCCCAGCGGGCTGGACGCAACACAGTGGGATGAGGCGCAGCGCCTGTTTGGCGCCTTCCAGCGGGGCCTTGTTGCACTTGGGGAGTCCATCAGAACAGACCCACGAGCGCGCGTCGCGCGCGCCGTGCGCGCCAGCAGCTCTGCCGGCGGCGGCGGCGGCGGGCGGCGGCGCGCCGGGAGGGCGGCAGCTGCAGCCGGCGGGGCGGTGGCGGGCGGCGCGCCGCGGTTCTTGTGCATGCAGGCGCTGGGCGCGGCGGCGGCCGCGGGGTGGTTTGTGAGCCTGGACGAGTTTCGGGAGTGCTTGGCGCGCACTGTGGCGGCGATCAGGTCGGCTCTCTGGGAGGCAGCTGGTTCACCGGCTCGCTGCATGCCAAATCACAACCGTTGATGCAGTTGCATGCTCCTCACCAGCCTGGCGGCCCGCCGCGGCTTGAGCCCCCAAACACACCTGCTCCCCACGCCGCTGCTGCACCAGGTCCTCCCACCCGGCCGGCGGCCGCGCGGCCTACAGCGTCGCGTGCGCCGCCGCCTGCTCCCTGCATGACCTGGCAGAGTCCGCCTGCCTGGCGCTGTCGCAGCGGCTGGGGCTGCGGGACCCGTCCAACCTGCTGCTGCTGCGCGCCGCGGAGGGCGCCCACCGGCGGCGGCGGGAGCGGCTGATCGGCCTGCAGCTGCAGAGGGAGGAGGAGGAGCGGCGCGCGCGAGAGCGGCTCCGCGAGCAGCAGCAGCAACTGGAGTACCAGCAGCAGCAGCAGCAGCGGCAGCAGCAGCAGCAGCAGCAGCAGCAGCAGCAGCAGCAGCAGCAGCATTTGGAGGGGAAGCAGCGCGAGCAGCCGGCACCCGAGCCGCCGCAGCCGCCGCCAGCCCTGCCTTCAGCTGAGCCATTGCAGCATCCACTGCAGCAGCAGCAGCAGCAGCAGCAGCAGCAGCAGCAGCTTGCAGAGGCGCCAGCCCCAGACGTTCAACAGATGGGCCCAGAAGCTCCGCAGCCGGCGGCTCCGGACTGGCTGCAAGCGGTGCAGGGCAGCATGGAGGCCCACCTGGCACGTGTGTCTGCGGAATATCTGGCTGGACTGGGCCCGCGGGAGACGGGCCGCACAAGAACAGCCGGCAGCGGCGACAGCGGCGCCGCCGGCATGTGGACGGCCGCCGGCGCGCTCGCGGCTGTCGAGGGATTCTGGCGTGCGGCGAGCAGTCGGTACGCCTGGGCCGCGGGGCTGGCCGCCGTCTCCAGCGAGGACGAGGGCCCGCAGAAGCGCGAGCGTGCTGCAGCCGGTGCGGCGGACGCGGTGGGGGCGCTGCTGGCCAGCTCGTTGGACTGAATCCGTGTAAGGCCGCAAGATACAACGTGCACTAGCGCTTGCCAGCTCGGCGCCTGCGCCCACGGAGGCGAGCGGCTGACGTGGCAGCTGGGAACAAGGGAGTCCTTGTCGCCTGGTCCCTGCCCCCCTGCTCCCCCAACGAGTCAACCCCGGTGGACATGGTTGCCTGAGGCGCGGTCAGGTCTAGCGCCTGCGCTGATTATTTGAGATGCACACAAGAGGCTCTGCACAACCACGGGGGCCGCAGACGTGGTCAGCAGCGCAGGGGCCCAACCCCTGAGCGCAACTTTGAAAAATCACCGGCTACAGATAGCCCAAGCGTGTAAGCCTGACACCTCAGCGGAAAGAGCCTAACACGCGGGGGTGCCGGATGCGGTGCAGAGCACGGGACAAGTCAGCAAGTAGTCGGAGCAGCGGGCCCATACGTGCCGTAAATGGGCGCGACGGCATGATGTCAGGGTGGGGAGAATCAAAGCAACAGTCACCCCTCGTATTGGGAGCCAGGCCAAGGGGCATGACTGATGAGTTCAAATCTGGATGAGATTCCAGCTGAGTTGTAGCGCCAACACTTGAGCCGAGTTTCAGATGGACAACACATGTGTGCTGTCGGCGGTGTCTTAATGCCGGTGTCCTAATGCGCATGTGGCTGCGCACACCGAGGGCTGCGCACGCATGCGTGCTGTGGGCGTGCTTGGTCCGTTCATTCATGAGTCAACGCTGTCCGCCAAAGGAAAGCAGCACGAAGCTTCGCCCCTCCCCTCCAAAGCAATAGACTCTATATAGATCGATACCTTATTGCTTCGATGTGTTATTCAATAATTGTTTTTATTGCATATCCACAAGTCATCGAGGTCAACTATCGATCTCGCTTTCAATGATGCCTGAAAAACGTGTGGCGTCGCTCGTGCTGGGGCGCTCCGGTGGCCCGCGACTCCACCCTTAATACCACAAGTTGAGATGTGCTACAGGGCCTGTGGCGCATGCGGCGGATGCCGATGCGCGATGCAGTGCTGCGCTACCTCTGCCGCTGCTGCTCCCTTCTGCTGCCCGCGACGCGAAGGGCCCGCCAAATTGTGTGATGCCCACCCCGACCCCTACCATGAACAAGAATCAAGGGATGAGTAGAAGGACCCTCTTGTCAAGGTCGCACGGGCCCGGCATCACCAACGGCAACAACAACGGCTACGGCAGCAGCGCCCTTCCCTCCTCGCCCCTGGCCCGCTCTTACTCCCGGCGCACCCTTCTTTTTCTCCTGCCGCTTCCTGCTCTGCATGCATGCATGCCCTTCACCAGTCCACGGTGGATTTCAGCATCCGGGTGCGCTCGGCCTGGTTCATATCGACCGCGTCTTCACTGAGCGGATCCCTGATCAGGGGGTGGGCGCTGGCGCCCCTTGCGCGCATCCTGGGGCGGGCTGCGCCTTCACCGTGCGCAGTCCGGCCCGGTTGCGGCTAGTGGGTAGCGGCTTGATCCAGCGCACTCAGCTCGTGGCAGGGGCGCAGAAGATCTTGCAGCGAAACGCGCCGGGGGTTGTGGTTGATTTGCATTTTTTGCTTGGGGGCCGAGCTGGCACAGGGTTCTTTTGCACCACACCATGATCCAGCGCAGGTGTCTCGACGACAAAGTAAGGTGTGTGGGGCACGATTTACAGCCGCCTCCCCATGGCGCGCCTCGGGAGTAGGCACAGCAGCGCTCTCATGCCCGCACACTGCGCACCCTTCTTTTGGTTCCTCCCGCTCCTTGCTATGCATGCATGCATGCCCTTCACCAGTCCACGGTGGATTTCAGCATCCGGGTGCGCTCGGCCTGGTTCATATCGACCGCGTCTTCACTGAGCGGTTCCCAGATTAGGGGGTGGGCGTCGGCGCCCCTTGCACGCATCCCGGGGCGGGCTGCGCCTTCACCATGCGCAGTCCGACCCGCGTGCGGCAAGTGGGTAGCGGCTTGGTCGCTGCGTTACGTGTCGGAGACATAGGCGCACGCGATCTTGCTGCGAAACGCGCCGGGGATTGTGGCTGGATTGTGTGTTTTGCTTGGGGGTGCGGTCGAGCCAGGGCAGTTTTTTTTTGCACGACACCGTGATGCTGCGCAGGTGTCTGGACGACAAAACAAGGTGCGTGGGGCGCGACGTGCAGCCGCCTCCCCGTGGCGCGCCCCGTGAGTAAGCACAGCGGCGCTCTGACGCCTGCTTGCTGAAACCGAGAGCTGCACAGGAGACAACTCCTCACAATGGTGGCTGTAGCCACCACCAACTTATGATAGCTGGTGACTGGTCAAGCAAGAACCCGTGCATCCCTGCACCAAGCTGCTAAAGTAGTTGATGGGGTTGACTACATGTGGCAATCGCACGAGGAAATTTGCAGAATTCTGTCAAGGTGTGTGAATCATTCGCAGAATAACACAGAATAACACGACCAAAACTCTGGTCTGCAAGGCGTGCTTACCGATGCGCTGAGGCCCAGTGAGGGTCAGCGGGCCTTGCACTCACTGGGACCCTTCAACGACTCTAAGCCCCTGACCCTTTCACTCGGGGGTTGACCCAGCCTTGAGGCACAACTCTTCTCCCAGTAGCATCACCCACAACCTTGTTGATTGAGAAATACATGTCTTTCCGCAACCCTTGCAACTACATCACACAGACAGGTGGGTCGCTTGGCGGGCGTAGTGCAGAAGGGATGGGAAGCATTGGATGCAAAGCAGGCTGGCAGCCTGCCAGGGCAGTGGCCCTTCAAGGGGGCCGCCCCCCAAGTGACTGGGCAAGGGCCAGTGCCCCTTGCGTGGGATCGCATGCGGCGCAGTATCCGTCAGCTGAGTCTAGGACAAGCCAGCATCTAATTCTGCGCCAGCGCCTGAGCGATTCGTGCCTACTTGGCTGCTGTGATGTTGACTGCGGCTGGCCTGCTACGGCGGTTGCAATTTTGCTCCTGCAAACCCCGCCGTCGGCCGCCTACATGCTAGGACAGAGCCCCTTTGGGTGATTGAGCTTGGGATGCCAGGGCGCCGCTTGGGCTGCCACCTCTGACGCTGCCAGGGGACCCACGCCCAGAGCCGCCGGGTTCGAGCGCATACCCGCCGCCGCGGCGCTGGGGCGCCTCTGCCCTGTCCTGCCGCCGCCCAAGGGTGGGGCTCAGCGCCCCAGACCCAGCAGCGTCCGCAGCAGGTAGCTGCCCGGTGCCTGCCGAGCTGCCGCCACCCGCGGCGCCGCCGGACCAGCGAGCGCTGCGGGCGGGTGACGCCGTCGCAGACGGGGCCTGCGCCGCGCCCGCTGCAAGGGACGCCAGGGCCGCATGTTGCCCCCTGGGGCCGTCGGCGCTGGCCGCCGACCGCGGCGGCGGCGTGCCGGACAGCGGCGACCGCGGCTTGACGCCAGGTGGCAGCGGGATGCGGCCCTCCGCGCTGCCGGCGCGCATCAGCAGCCCCCCTGGCCCACCGCCCCCAGGCGGCGAGCGTGGCGGCCCGGGCGCCATCGCCGCTGCTAGGTTCCATACCTGCTGTCTGTCTTGGGCCCGCTGCTGCTGCTGCTGTTGTTGCTGCTGCTGCTGCTGCTGCTGCTGCTGCTGCTGTTGCTGCTGCTGTGCCCTTGCACCGCCGCCCGCGCCCCCAAACGCCAGCCCTGCCACTGCTGGCATGTTTGCGCCAACGCCCCAGCCGCCCGGCACAGCGTACAATCCCGGCAGCTTCGAGCTTGCCGCACCGGCGGGCAGCCCTGCTGTGAGGCCGGCGTACACGCCGCTGCCGCCGCCTCCGCCGAAGCCGGCGCCAGGGCCGTCGTCGCCGCCGGCGCTGTAGAGGGTTGAAACTGCCCCGAAGCCGCCCGCCAGCCGCGCATCGCTCTCAGCCAGGCGCATCTTCAGCTCTGCAATTTCACGGGCATACCTGCGAGGCAGCAGTGGTGCGCGGCGCAAGCAGAGCGTGGCACGCGAGGCGGTGACAAGCAATGAGCGAGGTCGGTGGGATGAGCAATGGCGTTGCTGCGAATGAGGCAGGTGGGCCGGCGCCGGTGGGGTCTTCAATCCAGAAGGCGCGTGGCGCACGCCTTGTACGAGCATGTCACGTGCATTCCCGCGCAGAGACGTGCGCTGCGGCGGCAGCGAGTATTGCCCTGCAACCCCGCCTGAAAGGCGAGGCCCCATTGCGCACGAGCAGGCTGCAGCCCCCACCCCCAACCCCAAATTTCCGGGCCCAACCCACCTTTTGGTGACATCAAGCAGCTCATTCTGCGCCGCCACCGCCGCCGCCTCCGCCC